CATTATCTCCCTCTTACTTCTTTCTGGTATGTGGACCATGTCGATTAACATCACTTCACCATCACCCCTTGTAGGTCACCACATGACCACTCTCTACGCCATAATACGTTATAAAATAACATTAAACTCCAAGCGCCTTATGTAAATCCTTGTGATACTTCGTTCGTTACTATTCTAAGACAAGTGAATAAATGAATGCGCGCAATAATCGTCTGATTTTAAAACTTATGTCGATTGCATATTGCATTGTGTAATGCTTTCTTTATCTTTTGATCGTTAATATACTAGACCAACTGTATGTTCTTTTTTTAATTTTCGTTTAGAATAAATAACTATTCAAAAATTAAAAAAAACAAACGTATAATCTTCTTTGAGTTGCGTAACTCAAAAAGAGGAAAAAATGAATCATTTTAGATGAAAAATATAAAATTTTTGAATTTGGTTTTCTTAGCTTATTTTTATATTTACCTTTCCGTACCAGTTTATCTGGTATGATAGTTATGGTCGTGTGACATATTTACTAGCATTCCCACAATAACTATAGACAAATCTCATAAAATATTATGTTTTCCAAATATACTACATACTCGTATATCTATGTAGATACTAGTGACTTTATTTCTCGTTGCTGTCAGTTCGTTGCGAATAAATTCTCGACAAATATAAAATATTGAGCGCGCTGTATTGTTCCCTTTCAAAAGCTTTGGTGACATCAAACCAGAACCTATCTTTAAAAAGAATTATTCGTTATATGTATTATAACCTACGTTAGTGAATATAAAATAATAATTATAACTGCCTTTAAACACCACATCTGAAATATTTTAAACAAGGGTTACGATAGAAATAGCCTATACCAATCTCACTAGAATCTGCTCGATGAAATTAATTCTTTATTCTCTCTTTAATCCTGTGAGGCTCAAGCTTTTATAACCCCTAACGCAAAATCGGTGTATAAGTTTAACGTGTCTCTGTGTGTATCTGTCTATGGCATCGTAGCTCCCAAACGGATGAACCGATATTGATTTTGTTTGTTTTTGTTTGAAATTAGTCGGGAGTGTTCTTAGCTATGTTTGATGAAAATAGGTCCAAGGTGACCGGGGGTTTTTATCACACTCATACGATCACTACCAGTTAGTATTAAAACAATCGAATTAAAATGAGTTTAACAGTTTCGAAGATTTATATCAAAGAACTACATTTTTATGCTTTACAAGAGCATTTCTTTGCTCAGGCAAAGGCGAATATCTAGATATTTATTTATAGATTTTTTTGTGTTATCAACTTTAATTATTTTATTTTTAGTATAGAAAAAGCGGTTATTAAATGGAATCGCATAATACGTATAGTTTTATATAAATATATCATAATATACCACTTAATCAAAAAAAAATTAATGGACTCTACTACAAATATTTGTTTATCATCTGATTTATCTCCCCAAAGTAATAAGAAAGAAAATTTGCATCTAAAGCGATGTCGTATTACCAATAAATAACGCCAAATCTTTTATCGCTTATGGGGGTCTGATAAATATTTCTTTGAAGTTATCTTGTTTCTTGGTGTTTGTACGTAAGCTACCTATATCATTTTTATGAGAAACCTGCAGATTCGAGTTCTCTCTCAATAAAATGTTTAGTGTTCATTATACATATATAATTAAAGTGTAACTAATCGCTGTCTGTACATGGATATTTGTGAAAATCTATTATTGAGGATCTTTATTACCACAATAGAACCCAAAACAATGATTTTTAATTTTTTTTGTCTGTTTTTCTGTGCGTTTGTGCGCGCTAATCTTAGAAACGGCTTAACCAATTTGACTGCGGTTTTCGCTGATGTATTGTGGTAAGCTTCACTAAATATTTATTATTTGTTTTTTTTATCGGTTCAAAAGAATCACCTATGGACGAACCCGAGCGAAGCAAGGTCGAATCGCTAGTGAACATATTTTAGCAAACACAAAATTTAAATTCAATTATAATGAACAAAAAAACCTATGATTGCATGGAAACTTTCTGTTGGTGTAGCTGACATAAAATAAAAGCTTCTTTTAAGTTTTTTACTTTTCATTATTTTTTTTATAAACTAGGTATATACAATATATCCCCCCCCCCCCCCAACGTGCGTTCACCTTGTCGTGGTGGGGGGGCTCAGTAGTAGTAGTAGTACGAAGCTAAGAAACGCACAGGGAGGTTGCCCACTTCGGTGGGCGGTGTGAGGTGGCCCTCTTCGGGGGGCGGTGTACCTTGCGGGTTGCTCCTGGTACTTCTCTGATAGCAGAGTGGACCTTGGAGCAACCCCAAGGTTGTGGTGGTCTGCTTTGGCAGACCTGCCGTCGGGGCGTCGTAGTTGAATGCGTAAGCGATCCTGCGACGCCCTATTAAGACGAGGGAAGGTTTTGTTGGGTTTTAGTGGGTAGTACTGGCTTTATTACGCCGGTGAGTCCCACACCTCGTGCGTAAATGCATTTCCCAACGTTAAAAAAAAAAAGGTATATACAATATATGTATAGATATATTTTGATATGCTTTATACTCGATTTTAAGCGGTGATTGTAAAAAAAATCTTTTTGATCTGCTTAATATTCAGCCCTTTTTAACGTCCCACTGCTGGGCACGGGCTCCGCTACAAAGCGATGGGATTGGGGATCAAGCCATAATTCCTTACGCACACTAAGTGCAGACTTGCTAGTTTCTCTTTGACATGCAAATTTCTTTACGATATTTTCTTTTACTATAAGATGGTAAGAGGTAATTAAATTGAAAATGATTCGCACATGAAAATATCAGAGGTGCAAGTCCCGGGGCTTGAACCCATTTCCCTTGGTTTCCCAAGCAAGCCCGTTATCACTGGGCTGCCGCTACCATCTGCTTAATATCTCTTAATCTGGTGGGGTAAAAAGTCTTTATAATAAAGTAAAAGCTTTAAAAAAAATGTCTAATATTTCGAAATAAAAATTTCGTTATAAAATATACAATACTATATAGTTTGACTTCAACTCGATTTCTATCATAACTTGCAGTGAACCTCAGTACCTATTAATTTTGCAGGATAATAAAAATACCATGGGAATCATTCGATGTACCTAATAGGAATAAAATATCTAGTTGTATGTTATATACTAAGGAATTTTTTTACTATGCTGGCTATAAGCAAAATTATGTGAGTATGTGTGAAAGACGGACAGACCAACTTACTTTTATATTTATAATTGAAGAATTTAGAAAGCAAATATGTTATCTATATAACATACTAAAATCGATGTATGTATGTTTTCTAATCCCTATGGACTCCAAAACGGCTGGGGCGATTTTGATTAAATTTTTAGGTAATCTTCAGATTAGCCCAGCGGTTGATCCTGTGAAATCTGATAGCGATCGGAAGTTTGACGCGAGTTCTATATTGCTATATAAAAAATGTGATATTCTTTGAAGAAAACTTTAGGAATTACCTTATAAAATACATACATTTATTAGTAGAATTAATCTAATCAGATTTTAGTTTTCCATAATTTCCTGAGTAATTTTCATGAATGAAACGGTTCAAAACACGTTGACAACATTTACACCAAAGGTTTCTGTCACGTAATATTACGTGCTAAAAGCCGTTAAGTATTTTAATTAGGTTATGACATTAAAAAATTTCGATAAGTGCGATTTTATTCATTTAAATTCATAAATTAACAACATAATAACCTACAATTTTTATTAAAGCTCAATAAATTTAAAATGTTAATTTTGTTTTTTTTTTTAAACTTTGGTCTCATTTAGTCATACCGTCCATAAAATACTTAAAATTAAATTAATACAATTTATAAAAATCATAACAAGTTATTGCTAATCCCACTAGGAATATACGTTTTTTAAGAAAAAAAGCTTTAAGTACCGTATATTTATAAATCCATATGCATTTAGTAAAAAACTGTTATTATGATACTAGCAGCTCACCCTCGCTTCGCTCGGGTTCGCTTCTAGAAAAGCACAAACAGATCTATCCCACGGAAACCGTTCATTTTCCCGGGATAAAAAGTAACCTGTTGTTTGACCGGCAATATAAGAAAGGTATCAGCATGCCAAATTTTACTAAATTAGCTCGATAAGTTGTTGTGTACTAAGCTGTATAAGTTACTATAGTTTTTTAACTATCCCACGGGAACTCTTTAATTTTCCGGGATAAAAAGTATCTAAAATGTTGACTGGGATATAAGGTACCACCGTGCTAAATATCGATGAGATTAGCTCGTACAAACAGAGAAACAAAAAATTTGAAAAAATGTGGATTTTTTCTTTTTCTCGTCTTACATCCATCCCCCTGACTCGGTTTTTAGCATTTTTTTCTATGTACAAACATTCGACCTCTACAGTTTAATTATACGTATAGATAGATTATAACCAGATACTTCAATTTTATTTATCTGTATAGATTAGCTATTGCCCGTAGCTAATAGTTTATTTATGTATAACTGCTTCGCTGTTAAAAGATCGCGGTGTGGCGTGAAATAGTCTAACCTTTGTCAATAAATAGACTAAAATGCAAAACAGAAAATCAAATTTGACAAGTAAGTAGTTCCAGAGATAATCGTTTTCAAATGTACAGAAAACATCTTTTCAATTTTCTTAAGAAAAAAACGTTTTAATTTTATAACAATATAATAATAAATAATAGAGTTCATTATTATATGCATAAAAAGAAGACAAACAATACAGTGGTAGGAAAATGCACAAGAGGCGGCTTTATCGATTAAACAGCTATTTTTTCAGGCCAGTAGGTGTAGGAAATAGCAAATTATGAAACAGAAGAGGTGTGACCTTTAAAACAGCTATAAGTGTATAAATAAAATAATATAAACATATGCACGATATCACCTCCAGGTAAATTTCTAAGAAATTAATTAAAATTCTAAGAAATCTATTTTTAACAGGCACGCCGGCGTGTCCGCGGTCGTGGAGGGATATAATATTATATATAAAAAATAACATTATAATGATGGTCCATCAGATGTAGACTTCCACGACATAGCTTAAACTTCTTCCACGGTCACTGTACAAGTTGATGTGGACATATTGAAAGCCAAGTCCTCCAGCAATAACTTTGGGAACCGCTAAAGAATTATTTATGTCCTTGAGTTTTATGGCCTGTAAATAAAAAAAATATATAATTTACTTATATTTCAATAATAAAAAAGTGAAATTGTTTGTTATCAATATGTAGGGAAGAATATTTTGGAAGTAATGCACTGAAAATGAAAATTATTTATTTAATTGAAAGCTACACTGTCTATGGGTAACATTGGCTATTTTAATCTACGTACTATATATAGTAATTTATTATTAGTACTTGGCGACCTTTCAATATATGTTACAGGCAGAAACCGTTATTTTTGATTTATCTAGATATACTAGACTTAGCAAATCGATGTTCTAACATCCATTTTCTCTGACTCAACAAAGATGAGTGTCAGACCATGTTATTAAATGTGGCACTACTTAACATGCAGGAGGTTGCGCGTTTTATTCCGAAATGATGTAATTTATGTATTGGTTATGCAGATTCACCTCAACAAGACAGAAAAATAAGTTTTCGGCCAAATAAAATATTATATAACCTATTATTATCACTAAAACTAACTCAAGATATTTTTTTATATAAGCTTTTATAATCCCTAATTAAATTCATTGCATTCATTAACTTTATATATGACGTTTTGGTAACGGCAGTGGTGGTCGAGTGGTAACAAGCTCGCTTGGGAAACCGAGTGAAGCGGTTTCAAATCCCGGGTCTCAATGGGTCAGCTACGCGACGTTAAAAAACTGATTAAACTATTCTTTTTTGGACTTAGTACCTTCAAAATATAAATCTTAAAGGCCTGTCATTTAAAAAATGGATAGAATAGATTACCAACTATTTAACGCTTATGACACCGTTAGCTATACTATGACAAAATAGTATATTGACGTAATACGACTGAAAACTGAACTGAAACCTATCCTCAGTGAAAGTGAAAAGTTCAATTAAAATTGGTTAACACTATCTTTTGTCATCTGTCCTGTGTTAACTTTTTTATTTTTCGGGATAAAAAGGAGTTTATCTCATTCTCCTCGATTTTCTAATAGTGAAAATCTTGTTAAAATCGGTTCAACTATTCTGGTGATTGGTTAGAAAGAGACAGACGAACATTTTTTTTATATTGCTTGGGACGTAGAGTATAGACCATACGAGCCTAATACGGAATAGCCTCTTTATATTAATACATATTTTATTTATAGCGGTATAGTTTTACAACATTTGGTCGCCTTCGTAATTAAAAATTAAAATGTTCAAACCTCCATTACCTATTTGTTTTACTTTATTTACAGTAAAGAGTTTTTTCCTCTATTTGAAAAACAAAATATTATGTTTAATATTTATATACAGATATAGATAAATTATTTTTTTCCGTATTTTAAGGTAAAATGTGTGTTTTAGAACCATACAATTGACATTTAAAATCAATAACAATTATATGTAACTAGCAGTACACGCGGCTTCGCCCGCGTCCTATCTTCCTATGGCTAACAAGATTCAAACCGACCCGCTGTGCTAATCTGAAGATTATCTGAAAATTTCATCAAAATCGCTCCAGCTGTTTTGAAGTCCATAGGAAACATACATACATACATCGATTTTTATTTCATTTAATCAACAATTTAAAATTTATTGCTCGAAAAATAGAGTCTTTTATGAAAATTAAGTGACACACCGACTGCAGCGCCACCTACCAGATCCATTTGTGAATTCAAACGTTACAGGGGCCTATTGAAATAAACACACAAAGTTTCATCCAAATCAGTCTAGCTCTTTAGGAGGAGTAGGTTAATAAACACACGTACAAAATAATTATATATATATACAGAGTCATTTTTAATTTATACTATTTACATCATAACAACAACATCTATATATATATATATATATATATATATATATATATATATATATATATATATGTAATATAGTATTAAAAATTCTTTCGTTAAATTGGTCGTTTGAACAAATAAGCACTGAAGCGACGAATTGGCTATAATAAAGGACGTGTTGAATTTAATCGATAGTTCTCTATGTAATTTATGGTTCATTATGTGTTCAATTTGTCCTATAATTAATTTACGAGCTCGCAAGCGAATACTAAATTTGTTAATGTATATACTTTATATAATATACATACGAGTATTTACATAGGAAGTGGGTGTAGTACCGAGATCGGTCCTTGCCACATCGACCAGTTGTGATCTTTTGTAGCTCTAATATATTTTAACTGCCTCGGTGGTGTAGTGGCTAGCATGTACGGCTGCACATCCGGAGGTCCTGGGTTAGAGTCCCGGGTCGGGCCAAGTTTAGTTATTGAGTCTTTCTGTATAGTAAGTCTCAGTAACCGCCCGGAGTTGGGAAGTTGGCGGTATTTCACCCCCGTGCCTCGGAGAGCACGTAAAGACGTCGGTCCTGCGCCTTAACTCTCACCGGTCGTGTCGAGTAGTCGTCCCACCGGAGTATGAGAGTGATAGGAATAGAGAGTGCACTTGTGTCTGCGCGTACACTTGTGTGCTATAATATCTCCTGCGCAGTTGGATAATCTCAATGAGATTGGCCGCCGTAGCCGGAATCGGCTAGGAGAACATCATCACATCACATATTTTAAGTTGTTACTTAACCATGTAATCTTAATTTTTAAAGCAAGAAATCTTATTCCGCGGTTTCTTCTACTTGTACAGTGTTTTGGTTTTTTTGTTGCAGATTCAAATTACCATTTCTTACATTCTAAAACAGCGTCGTGTAATGATAGGTCCATTACGGATGACATATTAAAATGATATTTATGTTTATTTTTTCCCATAGGAAGCATTACCAGGCTTTAAAATATTCTTGTATAAGTGTAATGGATTTTCTATCCGCCAATTTTGATCCAAATCTATTCAAAGATATGGGTGTGATTGAATAACGAGCCTTGGAATAAATTTTAGAATTAATCAGATTAACACCTCCAGGTAAATTTCTAACAAATTAATTTAATTTCTAAAAAATCCATTGTTAACTGTAACGCCGGCGTGTCCGCGGTCGTGGAGGGAATAATTAAAATAATAATCAATCACACTACTAATAGGTACTATTATAAATACTCGTAATGCAAATGTTTATATGTCTATACATGTTTGTTTTTCCTACACCCTGTTAGGGTGTGCTAGACAGATTTGGATGAAATTTACTACACAAAAAGCCGATGACCTGTATGTATTATTTTATTATAAATGCAAACACTATCTATTACTATCTTATGGCGACTGGATGAGAACACTTCTAAAGATAAGGCCACCTTTGCAAACAAATTTTATTGTATGATATATAATTTCTATACTTCATTTAAGTGCAATAAAAAATAGTTCAACACATAGGCTACTTTTAGTAATTCAAATGCGCGACCTGACCCTGTATATAATATTGTAAATACAAAAATCACTAAGGGTCGTGACCCGTGAGCGTATGTCATTAGTCCCATTTATATTATAAATGCGAAGGTTTGGATGGATGTTTGTTACTCAATCACGCCAGAACGGCTGAACGGATCTGGATTAAATTCTGATAGGTTATAGTCTGAAATAGCACATGGGTTAGTACGGTATATATAATATATACAGTACGGAAAAACGTACTGTTCCCGTGGAATAGATTTATTTATGTTTTTCAGAGAGTTTTTCGATTCCATACCTAACCTTTAAAACCTAGGGCTGAACCTGAACGAATCGAGGGTAATTCACTAGTATTCAATAAACTTACCTTAATTTCCATTTCTGTTCTGACAATGACCGTTTTACTTCTAATCACACCGGCCATAGCGGGAACGTAAACAGATTCAGACGAAAATATCTTGACATCTGAACTACTATGCAAATTAAGACCATACGAGTTACAAATGTCCACATTTTTCAAAGTAATTACTACAATGGAAATGAAATATGTAAAATTCATGTTTAAATTGCTAAATATCGAACAGCGTACTTGGAAATTATGATGATTATGGGTCAGTAGACACGAAGAAATACGAATACTCGAGATAAAATACTTAAATCAGCACTTGACAACTGTCTATTAAGTGCTGCCTAGAATAAAATACTATCTAAGATTATTTGTATGTTGTGTATGTGTTGTACAATACATAAGATTGTTATGTATTGTATTGTACTCATCCCTTTTTAACGTCCCACTGCTGGGCACGGGCCTCACTTCAATACGAGGGGGATCAGGCCATATTCTACCACGGTGACCAAGTGAGTGTTGGCGGACTTCGCATGTCTTTCGAAAACTTGCTAGGTTTTCTCAAACATGCAGGTTTCCTCACGATGTTTTTCTTCACCGTAAGACAAGTGGTGATCATGTTAGATATGATTCGCACATGAAAATATCAGGGGTACGAGACCCGGAATTTGAACTCGCTTCATTCGGTTTCAAGGTTCCAAGCGAGTGTTCCCACTGGGCTACCACCACCTACCACTATACCTATGTTTTTTATAAACTAATGTTTATTTACTTACTTACTAATATTAAAAAAAGGTAAATGAAAACATTGAGTTTATTAAAGGCATTATGTAGTTTTCTTTTAAATACGAACTAACCATTATATATATATATAAAGTTTTTTTTAAATTATACTCCAAAGCAGAAATACATATTTAGTAATAATTCAATTACTACACGCACACTGACTGACTTTAAACACTAGGCTGATTTACTACTAGCGTATATAGAATTAAAAAAAAAACGTCTTCAATTCTGTACTTAAATTTTTTTTAATTGTTGCGCCATAAAGCATACAAAAATTTGTTAGTTTGGATTGATAACGATATACTTAAAAATCTGTTTGTTATCATATAATATGAATAAAACTCGAACCAATATTCGCGACCCACATTGCAACCGCAAATAAACTCCAAAGAAACTTGTTGACAGAAAACTCAATTTCGTCCCTCTTGGAATATTGAATGCTCTGATAACTTCATTACATTCTCTCCTTATTCAATATTTGTAATAAGATATGTGTATAAGTTTTTTATGAAAGGCCAAAAAATATTAGGTACATTATATACTAGGTTATATTATTTATATACATATATAAGTATACGCTTACACAATAATAATATTTAATATACAATTTTATTAAACTCTATATATTTTTATTATCACTACATATCATAAAGCAAAGTCCTCCCGCCGCGTCTCTCTGTCTGTCTGAACACAATAAACTTAAAATCTACCGAACAGATTTTCATATAGATCTCACCATTGGATAGAGTAATTAATGGGGAGGGGTTGGGTGTATGATTCAATTAGGTTTCGTGTAAATTGGCAGAAATATAGCTATATTTGTTGAAAGTGTACAAACTTGAAGTTTAATGGAATAAATGTCAAATTTTAATCAAATCAAATTATACTTTATTCAAATAAGCTTCTACAAGCACTTTTGAATCGTCACATTTTACATTATTAAAATTTAAATTAAACGTCAGTAAGCCCGTGAGGAATTAACATTCATATAATATAATCGACTTCAAGATTCTACTCTAAAATTAAACTTTTAACACATTTTTTTTTAATAAACGAAGTACTGAATTATTTTCGTTATATGTACATACATATGATACGTGGGCGGAGCGGCACACGCTTGTGATATAATCGGGGAATTAAATTTTAGACAGAAAAATAACTTCAACTAAAAAGTCAAATAAATTGTTACTTTAATCTATACATATAACAAAATTGTAACTAAGCCGGATTTAAACATTAGATATTTTTTGGAAAATCTTATTGAAATAGACATTATTATCGATACAGAGGCCGAATCTATAGTTTTTAGAATTTTTACTGTCTGTCTGTCTATCTGTTACCGCATCACGGAAAACCCATTGGAGGGATTTTGATAAAATTTGGTATGGTGATAGTTGGTTATCCGGGTCAACATATAGGATACCTACTTTTACCCTGGGAAAATATCTCATTTCTGAGAAAAAAAATACAAAAACTGCAATGTAAGAGTAAACTAATATGTAAAACCTTAGAGTTTGGTTTTTGGTCTTATATATTTCTGTCATGTCATGAGGAAATCTGCTTGTCTGAGAGAACTTAGCAAGTTTTCAAAAGACATAAGAAGTCCGCCAATCCGCACCTGACCAGCGTGGTGGACTATAGCCTGATCCCCCTCGTACTAAAGGGAGGCCTGTGCCCAACAGTGGGACGTTAAAAAGGGCGGAATACAATTCAATACAAAAGTTTGGACGATAACAGGTGCAATTGAGCTTATTATTACTTGAGGACAATTCTGACCCGAAAACAGTAAAAAAACAAAACACAAACAAAATTAGTTCAATAAAATAAGTACATTTATAGAAGGAGTTAGGTAATTAAAAAAATAAATGTAAGCGAAAATAAAAAAAAAGTCATAGAATATCAAACTTGAAACACTTATTTTCTGAAAAATTTACACTTTTGTAGGTATTTAAAAAAAATTCTGAGCCATAGAACTTGCATGGGAATTTTAAAGTTTACATACTTAGGGTTCGATACTATCGAAAAATCTCTACGAGCCCGAAATTCGCTAACCTAACTAACTTTAAAACTACCGAACAAGTTTCTAGGTCAGTTTTAAATTTTACTCATTATCCGCACATCTGTCAACGCCACGAGGGACGAACCGCCAATTTATTTTACATCTTGTGTTCCTTCCTGTTCTTATCATGCATTTTTTTGTCTTTTGTAATTATTATTAAATATATTTTTATATAATTTTTTTTTCTAATTTCTACTGAGTAACTAGTATTTTTAAGTATATTGGGAAATTAAAAGCAATGGTTATAAATATAAAGAAATAATAATATACGACTAACGATGGAACTTAGTTATTGAAAAATTGGTAGAAAAGGTGGGACAAAAAGAAACTTTTTTTTTGGAAAACTTTTAAAAAATAATAAAAACCGATTACATTTTGTGATATATTTATACATATCGAAGTAGAATTACTTTGCTCTGTATTGGCTAGTAATAAAATATTCGTTTGAGCAATTTAAGTAATTTTTATATGTTGACTAATATAATAAAAAAAACTCGTTAATATTAGCAACACTAAAAATCGTGCTGTAAAACACTTTTATAATATATTAAGCTTGTGAAAACAAACCAAATAAGCCCAAACTCAAATATTTAATGGCTTTACCATCAGATCAGCTCGATGATACCAAATCACTATACTATCATCGGAAATACAAACACTTGCAAAGTTTAAAGTCGATATGACAATAAGATGTAGGTAAAAGAGTCTAATTAGATCCGTTAACATACTTAAAAAATTTTGGTTTTCCTAATTTTCTCGAAAACGGTAAACTCTATGGCAAAGAAAATTGAACAACAATTTAAAGTACCAAAACCGATCAAGCCATCTCCAAGAAATCTGTGACCATACATAAAACATACGTACAGACGAATATTAAATATAGAATCACTCTTTTTTGGAAGTTGGTAAGATAGTATTATTTATTTATTTTAAGGGTTGAGTAACATCTTATCAAGTCTTAATAAGTCAAACTCATATATTACCATCTATAGCATATCTACAACCATATGTGATGTAAGTTATTCGTTTAAACAAATATTTCCTATACTTTTAATTGTTATTTTTAGCTTTATAAAATGTAAATAAGAAACATCCTTCTGTATAATTTATATCATTCTGTTCTGACAGTGTAAATTATGTGCCATGGCCTCTTTTAACTAAAACTATTTTAATTATCCTTGAATATTCTGGAACAATGGTACTCACATGCGTTGGCCTTACCCTTATAACGAGTTCATTAAAAGACTATTTCAGTTATAAAAGGGTTTCATTGCATAGCTTTTGTATAATTAACGTTTTGATAGTTAAAAAAATTCTAGCTTGCTATTGCAAGAAATATAAGAGTTATTTGTGTATAATGTCACACATGAATCTGAGCGTTTGTTTGTGTATTTACTATTTAGATAAGGACATAATATACATATAGCCTATGACCTGTTTTTTTTTTATTAAAAAATATAACATTTTTCTTTAATTTTATTCTAGGTAACCGGTAGTAAGACCTGTAAAGCCTGAGGAGTCCTACTGGATGGGTACCACTCCCTTTGTGTGTATGTGTGTGTTCATGATTGCATTGTTGTGTTCCAGTTTGAAGGATAAGGAGCCAGTGCAATTACAGGCAAGATGTATATCATCTTAGTCCTCACAGTGACAGCACACCTTCAGTTCCAAATTTTTGTTACATAAAACCTAAGTACATGAACCGTAGATGCTATGGGACAGCCACGGCTTTCCATCAGGTGGGCTGTCTGTTCATTTATCACTGAGCACTTTTAAATTTTTTATCATATTTACGAACGACTAACATGTGACAAGCATAACGCTATACAACTTATATAGCGCTATTTGAAGTAAGAGTGCTTTGAAAAAGTAAGTATACTTTAAAAAATATGGTGGTAAAGCCCCTGGAATAACACCTACCCTGCAATTAGTAGTTAAGTTCGCAAAAAGCAGCGAAGAATACACCTAATCGAAGCGAGAGTAAGCGGTAGTAATATAATAAAAGTGAACCTTAATCATGAAGATGGTTTGATAATATGTGTTATTTCTTCGTACCTATGTCAAGCGTTTGTATCGTATCGTACTTACACGTGTAGTTCGTTGAACGTATTTAGATAAAACTTTCCATGTTCGTTGACTGTGTTTTGGAATAAAAATGACAATTTTATTTAAATAGAATTCTGCTAGAGTTTTTGATTGTTCATTTTTAATTTGAACGTAATGCATTCGACTCGGAAGGATCTTCTGCTGCGAAGAACTGGCGAAAATCTCCACTATTGCTCTTATAAAAATGTTTGTTTAAAAATGTATTGGTGTGGATTAATAATTTAACTTTGATGATATTTTAATAATATTTTCGTATGTAAACAGTGTCAGCCAAGTTCACAAAGCAAACGAGCGATATTTAGGCGTATCGTGAATATCAATCAAAATTAACACCACTTAGTATTCATCAATGGAGTAATAAATAAAATCTGTAATAACGGGTTTTAACGAATAATATATTTTTTAAATAACTTTAATAAAGCTATTTAAAAAAGCTTACCCCAGTTTACTCGTACACGAAAGTTTACGAAATCTAGCTGAAGCAAAATAATCTAGTTCATACAAGCACAGTTACAATTACAATACGAGGATTCATCTAAAATCAAACCTACTATATATAAACCCAAAGCATTGAAATTTTGTTAGATTAAAGGAAATTTGAAGGTTCATAATTTTGAATCCATTTATTATGGGACTATTAGAAACAAGAAAAATAAAACATTTCCGTTTGCGATATCATTTATATTATAATCTCTTGAATAATAATTTTAAACATTTACAAGTCACTTGCAATACAAAAATAATTGTACACACATATAGCTTATTTACAATACTTAATTTCATACATTATAAAATATATTTATACAGGTAGTATAATTTATTTCAAATCTTATTATGTTTTTGAAGCAAAAATTATCGTCTTAACTCACAAAAATTAAGACATAGGTGATAAAACCTTCGCCATTTAATTTTTTTCAAGTTGCGGAAGGTGGTATAAAAAATTTATACTCCTTAGTAAAAGTCGCTGCCATATGCAGTTTATGAAACCCATAACAATAATGAAGTAACAATAAAGTAATTACATTAACATATTATATACTAACGTGCACTAATTATATTCGAATTATTAGATCAAATAGATCTCATGTAGCAATATTTACTTAAAAATACTCGGAAACGTGTAACTTTATTATCATAATATTAATGATATAAATATTTATATATACCTTTAACGAAATATATAACCTCTTAACTGCCTCGAAAGTGTAGTTGATAGCATGTACGATCGCAGAACCGTAGGTCCTGTTTCGCGTCCCGGGTCGGGTCAAGTTCAGTTATTGAGTATTTTTATCAAGAAATTCTCAGTAACGAACCGGAGTTGGGAAGTTGGCGGTGTTGCACCGCCGTGCCTCGGAAAGCACGTAAAGCCGTCGGTCCTCTCACTGGTCGTGTCAAAGTATCGTCCCATCAGACTTTGAGAGTAAAAGAAATAGAGAGTGCACGTTGTGTCTGCGCGTACACTTGTGCACTATAATATCTCCTGCGCAGTTGGCTAGTCTCAATGAGATTGGCCGCCGTGGCCGAGATCGGTCAGGACGACATCATTGTTCAAGACCTCTATCCATAGTTTCAAGAATATTAGGAGATATATATAAAGGGATGACTAGCGTGTTGGCTAAATCATAAACATTTTAAAGTTACTCTACATATTTCTAATTAATTATTAAAACAGTCAAATTATCTAACATGAGCGATATTTACAATTTTTACATTTTGTTATTATATTGCATAATTTTTGAAAATTTTAATAGTATTTAATCGAGATTAACTTTCTGTAATAATTTAATAAGTTTTTTTATTTATTACATTTCATATAGGTACAAATAAGAAATTGGTCAAAATACTACAATGTAATATATTAAATATATTATTAAATAAAAATTAATACTAAGTTAGTTAAAATAATACTTATTTGTAAATATTATGTTAGACTTATAATATTAATAACTTATATGTATGTATCTTTGGTTATTTTAACTATGCCCAAATAAGTCTAAGGTTTTAAGTATACGGGTTTGAATCCCGTTCGAGGCAAATGTTTGTTTAATTTTCAGAACAAATATGTATACAAGTAATATTAATTACCGATGTTTTGGTTACACACCGAAATATTAGAGAGTTTAATGATTCTTATAATTTAAAATCCGCATTAAGATTTTCTTTTACCTATCTGTGTGTATTTTTATAATGAACACAATATATTTTTTATTGGTTGTATATGATGAGACTGAAGTAGTTAAACTTACTTCCGATCTTTTACTTTTAAAATAAGCTGACTTAGTTAAACCATTTCAATATATCTATGTATACACATATTTAGAAGTAAAAATTTTTTCCAATTTGATTTTTATTAAAAAAATACCAACAAAATGTACCACCGCGTCGTCTATAACATATTTACTCACATACTAAATCTTACAAATTTTCTAAATTTTAATAATTTTAAATCGAAGTCACCCAACAGACATAATTATTAATTCAATAAATCACCGTCGCGAGAATTCCCTGCTGTGTTTGGCACTAACAAATTATAAAACCTATATTTTCTATTCTCTATATCTTTTTGGTTCCCACAAAAACAACATTCATATTGTAGCATTGATTATAGTAGTATACAGGCATTTCACTTAGGTCCTAAATAAGATTTGGCAATATCCAATAATTAAAAATATTGCACTCTACAGAAACCATCATAAAAAACCTTTTTATTATCTATATAACATGAACTTGAACACGATTATAATTCAACCTTATAAACTATTATAATTAAAAGCTAAACAAATAGGAACACATTACGTCTAATATTCACAGATTATATCTTATATTTGATTATATCATGAAAAATCAATTGAAGATAAAAATGGCACGTACATATAACGCGTACTCTATGATTTGGTCTCTTTCAATATTTTGAAGAGTTTATATAGAGTAAGTTACTAGATATAGTTAAAATACCTCTAGATCATAAGATTTTGAAGTAATTTTTGATTTCTGGTAAATTTATCAAAGCATTACATCGCGTGCTGGCGCGGCGGGTCGCTGTCAGTCTCGCGGCGGTATGAGAACAAGGAGCTGCGTGCGACGTTGCTCCTGCGCACGAGACATACTGCTGCTACGTGTTCGGTTTAATATCTGAAATTTAAAATTAATATTAAGTAAGTAAATTAAAGAAAAATATTTTTATAACAACTAGGCCTCGTTTCGTTTGGGTTTGTCCCTAGTGAAAAACAAAAAGAAATCCCACGGAAATCGTACATTTTTCCGGGAAAAAATAACAGTTCAACCGTTCTGGCGCGATTAAGTAATCAACATCCATCCGAACTTTCGCATTTACATATACCTAATATTAAAATTAATAATGAGATTGTACACCATTTCTATAAAGATAAAATAATTATTTATTTCTCATTAAAAAAACTGTGAATTCCATGGGATTTCGGAATATTAATAAAAGTTCGATGCTTACATCAATTTTAATTGTTAAAAGCAAAAGTTACGAATTAGCACACAAATATTCATACCCTTCAGAGGATGAATTTTCACTGTTATAATTAAGAAACTTGTGTGCCCAGAATTTCATACTCGTACACAAAACACTAAAGTTTCAGGCTACCTGTTATCTGTTTTGTTAAATTAAAAATTATAAAATTTTAATTTTTTTATTAATCGCCATACTTACTGTAGCTATAGAGTGCGACCGCCTCGCGTGAGTTGAGCTTAGAAGATCAGAATTAGCGGTAGAGTCAGATCGGGAACGCACCGTCCCGCGCACGTGACGTCGTCTCTTCCTACCGCACCATATCCAGCGGTATGGAGGCACTCGTCTGAAATGTATATATTTATATGTGGATGTATATTGTATATAATATTTTTATATTTTAAAATAAAAACAAACTTAAATCTATGAATTCTAAGGATCTAAGAAGATCCCTAAATTCTCCTTTACTCTCTTTTTTGTTTATTCTAAGGAAGAAGAAGATTTTGAGCTGTATAAATATATATTTAAAGGCAAAAGATGAATAAATTCATGAAAGGAACTATAACATGAGGGTTCAACTCTTTTTATTGTTTTATTTTATTTATATTTTTTTGTTTTATATTATTTGACAACACCTTTGGGTCAGTTTGTAGTGACCCTATTTGCTGTGCCAGCGGTTGAGGGTTCGAATCCCGCTGGGGGCATTCATTTGTGCGATGAGCATGTTTGTACTCCAGTCGTGCGTGTTTATATTTATAATATGTATGTATTTAGAGTTATATATGTGTAGTGTATCAACTATCTGGTATCCATAACACAAGCCTCGTAGCTTACCATAGAACTAGATGGTTCTGTGTGTTAATGCCCCAATATATACATTTATATTTATTGTCTTACACTGTACACGCAATCAGAGCCGCCAGAGAAAATTTGAAAAAATTAGAGGTTTCATACTATCTTTCATTAGAGAAAAAGACGAATTGCATATTGATTTTGTATCTATGACTTTGTGCTGTGAAATAAACTGTGTAAGGATCTATTACTGATCACATTTTTTCCCCCTTTTATTTCCGAAGTACCTCCAATTGTACTCGAACATTCTAGAAAAAATACTCTATATATAATGTATATAGAAGTCCAATAATACGATTATTTAAGTTACACCTACCGTTATTTATTACTTGTTATTTAATTATTATTTATTTCGTAGAAAATTTATAAGAAATTACAGAAATAAATTACTAAATTTATGAAATATGAAAAAAACATTTTTCATTCACTATTATAAATGTAAATAGTTTTACCTTAAACTGGTATAAATGTGTGGAGAAAACATGCAGCATATCAAAGGGTTGGCAGCAGAATTGAGGGGCGCCAAGCTTTGGATGAGGGTGGCGATGGCCATGTTCGTCTGGGTCATTGGTATTTGATCGTACACTTGGAGCAGGTCGAACACGATGTACGGTGACCAACAGAGGACGAATACTGGAAAATCATACCATAACATTTATTACGTACTTGTCACATTATCTTTAGATAGTTCTTCTGTACGTGTGTATGTCACTGAATTCCTCATAAGCGGCTAGACCGATTTTGATGATTTTTGGAGTGTGTTAGAGTTTATGGGTGATGGCTTAGAATTTAGATTCTCACCTGGACCCCGTAGGTGGAGCCGCAGTCGGGTTCTAGGATTTTTTATTTTTATTACTAGCATCCCCGACACACATTGCCCCGTCCAAACATATTAATTACGGGACGTTTGTCGGATCCTCTAGTTTATAGTACATAAAACTATCTTTTCGGATTATTTCGCGGATTTATTTTGATTTTTGGTTCCCGACGTTTCGAATGCTTTACAGCATCCATGGTCACGGGAGAGACTGAGGTGTTACATGTCTTAAAGATTTAGTTGTTACAGACAGCCTACCCACAATTAACAAAATGAAAATTGCACCAATTACATTACAATATTTTTAACTTTAAACATTTTTATAATTTTAATTATAATTGAATATGGAAAATTATTTATTTAATTTTTGCTATTATTTTTATAACTATTACAATTAAAAAATATTAATTAGTAATCTATATTTAGTGTTGCCATTATTATATTTATAACCATAAATAAAAAAATATAAAAATATAGTATTAATTATTAAAGCCATATAATTGTTCTATGTGTAATTTAAAAAAGTTAAAATTAATTAAGGATAATCATTTTAATTTAGTTTGCTATTATTTAAAAACAACTTACTAAGCAACACTATTAATATATACTTTTACAAATGAAAAATATTAATCTGATAAGCTGTCATTTTGATCTACACAGTATGAACTTACTACATCTGCCTGTCTGTTATGTTTATATTTATTATTTGATTTTATTATATTAATAACAGGATCCCATGACGATGGTAGTACCCAGCCATCTTCCCTATTGAAATTTGGATGTTTTTTAATTTCTATGGCTTCTCGAATCATTCTAGGGCGATATCGGTTTTCTTTCGCCAGGATTTGAGGTCTATCGAAACGAATATAATGGCTTGGGCGGTCCTGGCTATGTTTGCAGACAGCAGATGTTGTATTGCGACGGTGCTTCACATCAGCTATGTGTTCTTTGACCCGGGTTCTAATGGATCGCTTTGTTTGTCCAATGTAAGAGAGCCCACAATCACAATCAAGCTTGTAGACTCCTGCATCTTGTAGAGGGATGTGGCACTTGACAGGTGGTAAGAACTGACTAATTTTCTTTGGCGGCTTGAAGTAAGTTTTAATTGAAGCTCGCTTTAGAATGTAGCCAATCTTGTCAGTGACTCCTTTCATGTATGGCAAGATTGCAGGGACGCGCTCGACTGTGGCTGGTTTCACTCGGTCACTGTGACGCAGGCGCGGCACTTGCAGCTTGTTGTCACGCAGAACTTGCTTGACATGTTGCAGTTCTCCGGCCAGGTGTTGCTCGTCACAGATCCCGCGCGCTCTCTGAAACAGAGATTTTCCCACGGTAGCTAACTGTGAAGGATGGTGGTGAGATTCACCGTTTAGGTACCTATCAGTATGGGTCTTCTTTCTATACACAGTATGACTCAAGGTGTTGTCTGGGTTACGTTTAACTAATACATCTAGGAAAGCTAAGGTTTTGTCCGATTCTAATTCCATTGTAAATTGAATTTTAGGATTTATAGAATTAAGGTGTTCTAAGAATACAGTTATTTTATCAGAAGGTAATATTGTAAAAGTGTCATCTACATACCGCTTGTAGAAACGAGGGGTCACGGGTGATGTGTTCAGAGCAGTCTCCTCGAAGTCCTCCATGAAGATGTCGGCTACGACGGGGGAGACTGGCGAACCCATGGCCACTCCATCCACTTGCCTGTAGAATTCACCATTCCACAGTAGATAGCCGGATGTTAGGCAGTGTTTTAAAAGTTCAATGTATTCTATTGACATGTTGTGATCTAGTAGCTTCCTAGATATTATTTCAATACAGTCTTCCACTGGTAGGCTGGTAAATAAAGACTGTACATCGAAACTAACCATTGTTTCATTGTCCATGAGTTTTAGGTGTTTAACTTCATTGACAAAATGGTAAGAGTCCTTTGTGAACGCTCTTGTTAATCCTCTGAGTGGTGAGAGTACTTTTGCTACTAGTTTAGCCAATTTGTAAGTCGGTGAGTCGATTTGACTCACAATTGGACGTAGCGGAGCGTTAGTCTTGTGTATTTTCGGAAGTCCATACAACTTAGGTGGTTTTGCACATGATGGAATAAGATTTTTAACATCAAGATTTAATGTGTCGGAGTGTTCCTTAATTAGCTTTTTAGTATTATTTAAAACGGTGGTAGTTGGATCCGTTTTAACCTTTTTGTACGTGCTCTCGTCCGACAAAAGTTGTTTTATTTTATCATTATAATCTGATGTATCCATCACAACGGTTGCATTTCCTTTGTCTGCGCGTAGAACGGTGATGTCTGACCTATTGCGTAGGTTCTTCAACGCTAAATACTCTTGTTTATTGAGTATTTAGCGTTGAAGAACCTACGCAATAGGTCAGACATCACCGTTCTACGCGCAGACAAAGGAAATGCAACCGTTGTGATGGATACATCAGATTATAATGATAAAATAAAACAACTTTTGTCGGACGAGAGCACGTACAAAAAGGTTAAAACGGATCCAACTACCACCGTTTTAAATAATACTAAAAAGCTAATTAAGGAACACTCCGACACATTAAATCTTGATGTTAAAAATCTTATTCCATCATGTGCAAAACCACCTAAGTTGTATGGACTTCCGAAAATACACAAGACTAACGCTCCGCTACGTCCAATTGTGAGTCAAATCGACTCACCGACTTACAAATTGGCTAAACTAGTAGCAAAAGTACTCTCACCACTCAGAGGATTAACAAGAGCGTTCACAAAGGACTCTTACCATTTTGTCAATGAAGTTAAACACCTAAAACTCATGGACAATGAAACAATGGTTAGTTTCGATGTACAGTCTTTATTTACCAGCCTACCAGTGGAAGACTGTATTGAAATAATATCTAGGAAGCTACTAGATCACAACATGTCAATAGAATACATTGAACTTTTAAAACACTGCCTAACATCCGGCTATCTACTGTGGAATGGTGAATTCTACAGGCAAGTGGATGGAGTGGCCATGGGTTCGCCAGTCTCCCCCGTCGTAGCCGACATCTTCATGGAGGACTTCGAGGAGACTGCTCTGAACACATCACCCGTGACCCCTCGTTTCTACAAGCGGTATGTAGATGACACTTTTACAATATTACCTTCTGATAAAATAACTGTATTCTTAGAACACCTTAATTCTATAAATCCTAAAATTCAATTTACAATGGAATTAGAATCGGACAAAACCTTAGCTTTCCTAGATGTATTAGTTAAACGTAACCCAGACAACACCTTGAGTCATACTGTGTATAGAAAGAAGACCCATACTGATAGGTACCTGAACGGTGAATCTCACCACCATCCTTCACAGTTAGCTACCGTGGGAAAATCTCTGTTTCAGAGAGCGCGCGGGATCTGTGACGAGCAACACCTGGCCGGAGAACTGCAACATGTCAAGCAAGTTCTGCGTGACAACAAGCTGCAAGTGCCGCGCCTGCGTCACAGTGACCGAGTGAAACCAGCCACAGTCGAGCGCGTCCCTGCAATCTTGCCATACATGAAAGGAGTCACTGACAAGATTGGCTACATTCTAAAGCGAGCTTCAATTAAAACTTACTTCAAGCCGCCAAAGAAAATTAGTCAGTTCTTACCACCTGTCAAGTGCCACATCCCTCTACAAGATGCAGGAGTCTACAAGCTTGATTGTGATTGTGGGCTCTCTTACATTGGACAAACAAAGCGATCCATTAGAACCCGGGTCAAAGAACACATAGCTGATGTGAAGCACCGTCGCAATACAACATCTGCTGTCTGCAAACATAGCCAGGACCGCCCAAGCCATTATATTCGTTTCGATAGACCTCAAATCCTGGCGAAAGAAAACCGATATCGCCCTAGAATGATTCGAGAAGCCATAGAAATTAAAAAACATCCAAATTTCAATAGGGAAGATGGCTGGGTACTACCATCGTCATGGGATCCTGTTATTAATATAATAAAATCAAATAATAAATATAAACATAACAGACAGGCAGATGTAGTAAGTTCATACTGTGTAGATCAAAATGACAGCTTATCAGATTAATATTTTTCATTTGTAAAAGTATATATTAATAGTGTTGCTTAGTAAGTTGTTTTTAAATAATAGCAAACTAAATTAAAATGATTATCCTTAATTAATTTTAACTTTTTAAATTACACATAGAACAATTATATGGCTTTAATAATTAATACTATATTTTTATATTTTTTTATTTATGGTTATAAATATAATAATGGCAACACTAAATATAGATTACTAATTAATATTTTTTAATTGTAATAGTTATAAAAATAATAGCAAAAATTAAATAAATAATTTTCCATATTCAATTATAATTAAAATTATAAAAATGTTTAAAGTTAAAAATATTGTAATGTAATTGGTGCAATTTTCATTTTGTTAATTGTGGGTAGGCTGTCTGTAACAACTAAATCTTTAAGACATGTAACACCTCAGTCTCTCCCGTGACCATGGATGCTGTAAAGCATTCGAAACGTCGGGAACCAAAAATCAAAATAAATCCGCGAAATAATCCGAAAAGATAGTTTTATTTAATAATGTCAAACATTCGCGTAAATCTAAGAAAGTATTATAGTACATAATATTTTATGTAATTTTTATAATGATTATTTTCAAAATCATAAGTTCGAAATCGTTTCAGACTAAGTTTCGTTGTAACCGTTTTCATTTCTGTATCAGCCGTTTTTTAATAAATCTCGAAGGCACTGAGACAAAACAAAGTAATAAATGATACTAAAACACATACCATTATTAATAGTACTTTTTGCAGTCTCTATTGGCGGTTTGAAATAGAGCAAGGAGTTGCGACACTACTTAAAATATCATTCTTGTTTTATCTACATGAATTAAATTGTATCATACAGATATTTTTTCTCGTAGTAGTTCTAAAGCAACGATATGTGCGAACGTTCGTACAAACGAAGAATTTTCGGTGTATATACATATTTTCAATGCACTTTTTGAAGTGAAACTTCTTTAGAATCGTTTTGATTTGAAACTCGATGAAACGGAAATGCGACACGAGAAAGAAACAAACACATAAATATAAAGCTGGTTAGAGAATGAGATAGAATACATTGTCTTGTTGACATGGTAACCGTTGTCATTGTCTGACAAATATTATATAATACTATATTCATTCCTTAGATGATATTCTATAAATATACTAGCATTGACCGCGGCTCCGCCCGCGTTCAGATGACCAAAAACCAAATTATTAAGTTTTACATATTAGTATACACTTACAATGCAGTTTTTGTATATTTTCTCAGAAATGAGATATTTTCCCGCGAAATAAAAAGTATATATGTTGATCCGGATAACCAGCTATCATCATACCAAATTTCATCAAAATCTGTCCAGTGGTTTACTCGTGATGCGGTAACAGACAGACAGACAGACAGACAGACAGACAAAAATTCTAAAAACTATAGATTCGGACTCTGTATCGATAATAATGTCTATTTCAATAAGATTTTCCAAAAAATATTTAATGTACAGATTCGACTTAGTTACAATTTTATTATATGTATAGATGATTGTAAAATGCCTAATACGAGTATGTCTTATTTAATTATTGATTTGTTTTAATTTAATTGTGATTTTTGTCAAAGAGGTTTTACTTCAACCGCGCGTATAGGATACACGCACACATTTTTTTATTATTATTATTTTAATTACGCTCAATAACGACATGAATGAAAGGGGACCATTGTCCACACCTTATTGCCTTAAACTTTTCTTGTTACCTAAAACGGCGAACATTGACAGTAAAAGTTTTCTCATTAACTTCATCGGGGCATTTAATTAGCAACTATCACAAAAATATTTGGACGCTATAATATTTTGTGTGATAAATAAAAATTATGCTTGTTCGCATTTAATTTAATCTTGTTATTTATGATAAATTGCAAGAAAATCTAGGCCAGATGGTAAATAATTTACAAATATAACGAAGCGTTAAATGGCGTGAAACGTAAATGTTAATTAGAGTAAAAATATAGTTTGTTACAACGTCGCCAATTTGACGCATTTTTGCTTGCGGGCGGTAAATTTAATGAATATAGAAATAGAAAATGATTTTAATATTTGGCCAACGTTGAACAATGAGGCTTAGAGTTTCTCGATTATTTCTCGTGCCTAAAACTTCATTACTAAAGTATTAGTTTTAAATTATTCCATTAAAAGGATTTTTTCTATCTTTTGTTTCATTAACTAACTTTTAAGTAAAATCTTAACTCATCTCTTCTGCCTATATGCCATTTTTAGCCGATATTCAATGCCCCCAGTGACACAAGTGCATGTGTTAGGGACCGAATAACGAACCCCCCCCAACGTGCGTTCACCTTGTCGTGGTGGGGGGCTCAGTAGTGCCCGGCAATCCAACCGGGCGCGAAGCCAAGAAACGCACAGGGAGGTTGCCCACTTCTGTGGGCGGTGGGAGGTGGCCCTCTTCAGGGGGCGGTGTACCATGCGGGTTGCTCCTGGTACTTCTCTGATAGCAGAGTGGACTGTGGAGCAACCCCATGGTTGTGGTGGTCTGCTTCGGCGGACCTGCCGTCGGGGCGTCGTAGTTGAATGCGTAAGCGATCCTGCGACGCCCCAGTAAGACGGGGGAAGGTTTTGTTGGGTTTTAGTGGGTAGTACTGGCTGTATTACGCCGGTGAGTCCCACACGTCGTGCGTAAATGCATTTCCCAACGTTAAAAAAAAAAATAAGGGACCGAATAATAACATAACAATTAGGTCACTCCAAACACAAGACGATATATAAAAAGTTGGTGCTATAAGCAAATGATTGTGCAAATAATAGCTACCCTAGTCTAATTAACCTCGATACATATGTAGTTTAAGCATATAACACCATTTTCTTTTATCGAGTATTCTTCTCATTAAAAGAAAATTCGAATAAATTACACATTTTTTTTTAAATAGCTTATTTATCTGTCAATATTTCTTCATTTTGTATAAGACGAAAGATCACACACTAACAATCACACTTTCACACTTATTGTTTTAAATGCACAAAAACAAAACTATGTATATTTGATAAGTTTCATTTTAATTGGTCGAGCCTATTAAAATATATGTAATAGGTATAAGTTAAACTTCTCTACTTACGTCCGTATAAAGTGGGTATATGTAATTCTTTAACAGATTATTGAATAAATAAATATGTACTTCGGCAGAGCCCAGTTTGAAATAATAACTAGAATTTTGTTTGAGTAAAGCGAAGCTCGTGTAGAGCACTCTATTCTAATGAAATAGTGAGGAAAGTATGTTGTCAAAACAACAGATGCGTAATGTTTCAGTCAGGAAGTTAAAATTAACGCAATCTAAAAATATTTTTGGTCTTGAACTGTATTGAGGCCGGTCATTTTAAAAAATATTTAACACAACACGATATTTAATAAGAAGCCGGAGAAACAAAAATATCGATCGTGTCTGCCTGTCGGGTAATAATAATTCATCATTTAAAACTGAACGTCATATAAAATAAGCTCGCGTCTAGTAAATAATACAGAATAATTCAAACATTTTTAAAAGCGACCCACTTAATTCAAGAATGTTAATAATTTTATAGAAGATAAAATATGAGATAATTTTATATTAAAACAGTACATCTTTCCTACGTGCGATAAATAAAGTTATCAGCATACAAAAATATTTTCTCTTAAGTGAGATTCGAATTTTCCACTATGGCATTTTGTTAAAGTATTGAAATAAGATTTAGTACTTCTTGAAACTAAATATCGACATTATAATACATAAGTTTGATAATTTAATATTTAATTTTAAAAAATATACTTAGCATAAGTAGAAAAAAATCGAACAAAACGGCTAATTTATGATGGGCGACTAACCAAAAACAATGACAAAAGTCATTTTGACGCTTTTGATTTTAGCTCTAGGTATTAATCCTCTGGAGCTGGCGCGCCGAGAATCCGGGTCACATTCCACCTGCCCTGAAAAAATAAAAAAATCATGTCAAAATTAATGGACGCTCTCATGCAAATATTCTATTGAAGTTTTTATAATATTTTCACCATATTTTAAACTAAGATTGTCATTAATCTATACCCTCCTGGGACCCAGGACAATTTATTTTAAGGAATTACGATGAAAACTATCCCTAACTAATAAGCAGTTGGCCAGATAACTGAAAAAACTAATTAAAAAAATCTAGTTCGGAAAATGTAGATTTTCTCAATGTCATATATATGCGACATGAGGTCCCTATACAGACTGTTGTTTGTGTATATACATGCCATGGAACATACGTTATTTTTTTGAATTAATAAGCTAGGTAATTAATATTTTAAAAAACTTCAACTACAATCATTCATAAACCTTAATCTTAATACAGGGTTGGTGTTCCCGGGAAGTATTGTCGTATCCTGTAAATAGAATTATCATTTCATTAATGCTAATGTTATCCGCTCTTGGTTGACTATGTAATATTTCATCAAAAAGAGGTGCAACTTTCCAAATCTTATTTGTTTTGTCTTGTTGTGAAACTTCAGCTTCAGCGTCAACGACAACTTTCAAAGATGACCGAATGTCGAAAAAACGTACTCTAGTCAATGATTCTTTTATAATTTGAATGCCATATTTGCTTGAACAATACATGCAAATTTTTGTTAAATTAATAAAACTTATTATTAGGTATATGGTTATAAAAGATTTCAATTCTTTCAAAGTCATCTTCAATTCATTTCCTTGTTTTAGCAGATAGGTTCTATTTGTCGCGTCAACCATTTACTCCAAAATTTTATCAGAAATATATTGTTAGAAATAGTCAATCCAAATATCAGTATCAATAGATTTATATCTTGGCTGAAAAATTGGCCTGTCTAAGGGCAAGAAATTGCAGTTCCTTCTGTTATTTACCAGCGACGATCTATCATTTTGTGCACCTCTCGTTCTCAATCTCTTGCCTCTTGAACTTCCTCCAAGTGTCCTAGGTTCATCTCTCGTTCTAGCACGAGACCCAGTGGTAGCTGTAGTTAATGAGGCCAGAGATATTCAGAACCCGGACGAGTTTCGTCTTCTGAGTTTGAAGAACCGGAACCAGAACTAATTTTCTTTTCATTTTGAAATATTGGCATAGGTACTGGGTCTTCTTCATCAGTTAGATCGAGCTCTGACTGTTCTAAATAATGCACTATTTCGCTATTGTGTATACCCAGTAAAAACAATAAAAGTAATGTAAAGATAAACAGCTTTATTAGGAAAAATATCTCTACGTAATACAGGTATTACATTAGGTTCCTTTGATTGACGGTAGTCATTGGGACCTTGTGTAATACCTGTATGACATTCAAATTTACCCACTTATTTCATAATACTATAGCAAAAGACAACACTTATGGATATATTTATAATAAGCAGGCACATAAGGCATAAAGAAAAACATAAAGCGTTAACGGAATTGTTAATATTTTAAGAGAAAATACGAAAATCCTTACCACGTGTTTCTGGCCAAGACGCCATTGTTCACTCTAATCAAGAAACTAAAGTAATACATCTCATTTCGTCAGCCAATCACAGCCTAAATCGACGGGCAAATACCTTATATATTGAATTAAAGTAAAAGTTACAACAAATCTTAAAAGATGGCGGTGCTATAAATTTTTCCGTTCTATGTAATATGGATATGACGCCAGGTCCCAGGAGGATACATATAATAAAATTGTAACTAAGCCGAATCTGTACATTTTTTGGAAAATCTTATTGAAATAAACATTATTATTGATACAGAGACCGAATGTATGGTTTTTACAATTTTTGTCTGTCTGTCTATCTGTTACCGCCTCATAAAAAAACCACTGGAGGGATTTTGATGAAATTTGGTATGGTGATAGCTGGTTATCCGGGTCAACATATAGGCTACGTTTTACCTTGGGAATATTCACATTTCTAAGAAAAAATACAAAAACTGTAATATAAGAGTATACTAATATGTAAAACCTAAGAATTTGGTTTTTGGACATCTGAACGCGGGCGGAGGAGGGGCAATGCTAGTACTGTAATAATGCTGTTATAATATGTTTATAACAAAATACGTAAAATAACATAAATGAACGTAGCATCAAGTTTCCATTTAGATTCATGTAATGTCATAATAATTGAAAGCTGTAATGCGTAGACAAAGCGAATAGTTATTAGCATGACGAATCGTTAAAGCCTTATCCTGTCAGCAAAGGCACGGTTTGTGTCAAAGTCTTGAGTCCTATTACTTGTGAAGAGGTGCGGTACAATGTTGGTTGTGTACGCAAAGAAACTTTGTTTCTGAAACTATTATTGAAGACTGTATAAATCTATTCATTGACTGTCTGATGATAGATAAGCTAATAAGCTTATAAATCTATACAGATGAATAAAAAATTGAAGAGTCTGTTTGTAATGTCGAAATAAAAGATTTTTACTAAATGCATATTATGTAATACGATACTTATAAGAAGAACAATTTAAAAAAAATGTCTATCTGTTTGTACCGACTAATCTCCGAAACAGCCGGACTAATATTTACGGGACTTTCACTGTCAGATAGCTGATATTGTAAGGTATAACTGTGGCTACTTTTATTTTAGAAAAACAATAAGGGTTCCGCTCAAAAAAATTAAAGCATATCTAGGGACGCTCCCGAGAGAAGGGACGGTAAGTCGCTAATACGTCTAGTATGTAATAAACTAAGTACTGGAAATGCTGTAATAAGCTAATAAGCTTTTTTTATATCTATATATATATTGGGCTACTGTTGTATATATTAATGGGAAAATTTATATGTGTGTATGTATGCTTGTTACTTCTTCTCGCAGAAAATCTGGACGTATCTGGATAAAATTTAATACACAAATAGACCTGACCTGGAGTATTTATTATATAGGCTGTTAGACACACTCTTTTGCGACCCTATCTCTAATTACCAACTTACCATTTCTAAGGGTTTTCGTCCTTCTAGAATTAACAGGAGGGCTCATGACCACAGCCTTGCTCTTCGTCCATATCGTAAGGACAATGACCGCGTAGCAAGCAGCTATAGTCAGTGCCGGCAATACAAATATCATTATTGACACCAATGTCATCCAAATTTGCCAATTCCGCGACTCTCCTAAATCTATCCAACATTGTAGCTGACCTGTAAAAAACATAGTTTAAATAATTGAAAAATTATAAAAATATAGGCATATTTATAATATGTATGTATTTAAAGTTATATATGTATAATGTATCAATTATCTGGTATCCAGAACACAAGCCTCGTAGCTTGCCATGGAACTAGATGGTGCTGTGTGTTAATGTCCTGACATATAAAAAAGGTAAGTATATTTTCTTTAAGTACTGAAAGGCGTTTTTAAAATTGTATCGCATCTTAATTGAGTCTAAACTTCCTTTTTTTAGGTCAAAATTACGGTATATATAATTTTATTGAGCTTCATGGTTTTTTATGCATTACACGGGAAAACAACACACAAACAAATAAATAGGGTAATGACAGCTTCAGGCATCATCACAATAGTCTAAATATATTTAGAACGGATTTGTTCCATTTTTCTAGTACTCAAAAATTACTCTTATGAGTATGTTTAAGTCATGAATTGTGATAATTATGAATTCATTGGAATAAATCTTCATAACGAATGGTTATTACTGTGTGAGAGGGTTTTCGTTTTTAATCGCATTTTTATAATTTGCTTATTGTCTCATGTCTGGTTTAACATTAAACAACAAATATTAAGAAATATAAGTTAATCAAGATCGTATTTTACAATTCGTGCAGGTATTTTAAACTAAATCTAATGTTAATGAAAGTGAATTTGTTATTGAATTTGGTGTTCAAAAAGTTATCATCTCTGGAATGGTAGCTATGTTATAGAGTAGAAAACGGTGTAATAAGAATTTATAGTCAAAGTAAGTTTACCCATCTATACTGTCTACAGTATTAATATTATTGACAACATAAAGTTTGTTTTAAATAAAACTATCTTTTCGGATTTTTTTCGCGAATTTATTTTGATTTTTGGTTCCCGACGTTTCGAATGGTCTCGGGAGAGACTGAGGTGTCAGATGTCTCTAAGGTATTATATAGTTGTTACAAACAGCCTACCCACAATTAACAAAATGAATAAAAAAAATTGTAAAATGGCACCAAAGTACATATTTTATCTTTAAACATTTTTATAATTTTTAAAATTATAAATTAAAAAAAATTCAAGTAAATCTAAGAAAGTATTAACATAAGTTTGTATTTCAAACAATAATATTTATTTTACCATACAATTATCTTGATGTAAATGCTTTTTACTTGAACTCCAATACGGAAATGTCGATTATAAGGGTTCTATTTTTGTCTTTTGAATACGGAACCCTAAACACTATCAACTTCATAAAGAACATTAGATTTATCAAGAAGAAATATGATCATCACTTTGATAATAGCAAATAAAAGTTAACGTCGAAACTTTTATGTTAATAATTTTTTATTCAGCTTTTTAATGTCAAAACTTTTATAGGATATAATGTGATTATCAGATGATAAATGGTGACAAGAGAAATTTCGGTCAATCTATAATAATATAAGAGCGCTTTTAAATTTTAATTTTTAAAAGTTCCATTTTATATAAAAGCTCTTTCTGAAACGTTAAATTGAATCGATAGCCTGATAGATTCATTACTTTAAGGCATATATTATTATAATTATACGGTTACATTATAATTTTTTGAGAAATTAATATAAACAATTCCATCAAATGTTTTTTGTATATTTTCAACCGACTTCTTCAAAAAGGAGGTTCACAATTCAATGGAATCTTTTTTTTTCTTTTTTTATGTATGTTCACCGATTACTCAAAGACGCCTGAACGGATTTAAAAAAAAAATTTTTTTTTTAAAGGGTCCCATTAAAATTTTGCCAAAATCGGTCGAGTGGTTTTAAAAAAATCAACAATATTTTTTAAATAAATAGCTTAATCGAATATGTTATTAAAAAAACTTTCTTCTTACAAATTACCGGCTTATTACGTCTACACTAAAAATGGAAAAATAAAAACTTTAGAAGAAATAAATAAAAACCGACTTTCAGGCACTAAAAAGTAAAAAAATAACTAAACGGGGGTTTTCATTTAGAATAGATAGGTAGGTATATTCAAGATGCTGTATGTAAGGTACTTTAACCTGTTTAGTTATTTTTTACTTTTTGGTGTCTGAAAGTCGTTTTTTTTAAGTTTTTATATAATGCGACATTTGAATACTTTGATTAAATTATAGATCTCATAAATGACTACAGCTTGAATGATGAACTTGATGCTTAATCATTAATTATGGAAAAATAAAATGAAATTTTGAAAAAATCATGAAAAATTGAAAAAAACATTCAAAAATAATTATAAAATAATTGTAGTGTATGTCTGTTTATTCACTTACCTTGTCAACCACTGGATGGATATCAATGGAAGTTTTTATAGATGTAACAGTAAGTTTTTTTTTAGTAACAATAGATTAAGTAGATTTAAAATAACATACCGTCCTTTTTTATCTTAACCAACGACATTTTAAATAGTTTGTCCCTTAAATAATAAAATACACTAATATTATAATTACAAAGTAACCGAGTGAGTTATTTTGTGTATTTATTTCAATTTTGCACTATAATGGCTTAACAGCTTTGGGTGAAATTCGTAATGTACATAGCTTATATACTGGGTTAAACTTGCACTAATGTCACGTAACTACCATTCGACGGAACTAAAAGCGAAGCTACGTGCAGTATAAAAAAACTGCTTAAATATTTTAAATAAAACTATCTTTTCGGACTCTTTCGCGGATTTCTTTTAATTTTTAGTTCCCAACATTTCGAATGCTTTCCAGAAATCATCGTCACGGGAAAGACTAAGGTTTCAGACCAAGGGGATGATTGCTTTAAGGCATTTAAAACACAATATATCCGCGAAAAATGTAAAAAGGTAGTTTTATAAAAAATGACAATTATTCTCGTAAATCTAAGAAATCTCGTAAATCTAGTTTAAATAGAAAAAAAAATACCTTGTATTTCCTTCACTTGATATAACACAAGTATAGGGATGGAAAACACAACGCTAATAAGCCACGCTGATACAATGAGACCCCGTGCACGATTCCCTGAAAAATAAAAAAGGTAAAGTATAACTTTTATAGTCCTACAGATGTTTCCCAGCTAAAATAATTCCGACATTAAGGCCTTCGCCCACTATAACTGACTAAGGAATAATATAAACCGAGTGTCATAGAATTAAGCGTGAAGCCAAAAATTTAATATTAATTAAAATAGCTAATTAAAAGGATTTTGTTATAATAAGGAAAAAAAATAAAGAACTAATGCTGTAAAATTAGAAAGCAATTTTTTTTAACACACGGCACCATCTAGTTCCATGGTAAGCTACGAGGCTTGTGTTATGGATACCAGATAGTTGATACACTACACATATGTAACTTTAAATACATACATATTATAAATATAAACACCCATGACTGGAGTACAAATATTAAATAATATACAAAATATGAATACTAAAAATATTGTATTATTTTTGGTATTCATATTTTATTTTCAAAAATTGTATATTAATTTAACTTCTAAATATTCCTTTATTTTTTTAAGAAATTAAACGATATTTATAGCAAACTCGAAAATAGTAGCATAAACAGCAAATCACGCTACTAATTTTGACTCTGATATTTATTTTGGCAGACTCCATCTATATAATTCTTTAGTCTGAGATTTCAACAAACTGTATCCGCCACTAATATTGTATATGCGAAAGTGTTCATAATATTGATAATTATTAGTTTCTAACACGCTATAAAAAAGTAACGGAACAACGTTAGGCAGAAATATTTTATGAGCTGGAGAATGAAATTGGCTGCATGTTATCCTGCTACTTCAAAAGCTTACCGTGGCATATTACTCAGACTTTTGTTAAAATATACATACATAGGTAGATGTGTCAGACCAAACCAGTCTTAATTTTTTTATTACTTACATTTTTTTTTGTTTTATTTATGAATTTATTAATTACTAAAAATATAGCTTTATTTTATCAAAAATTAAAATAAATATTTTTTTATAATTAAACCTGTTGCATTCATAAATATTTTAATTATTATTCTATCCAGCGTAGTGAGACGTAACCCTTAATAAAGCATAAGGATACAGTACATATTATGTTGGCAAGTATATCTTTAAATGTACTCTATTATAATAAAAAGAAAAGATATGGACTATTAAGATCCTACAGTTACACTACAGGGCTTATTTCACTTAGAAATTCGCTTGTAATTACATAATGTCTCGTGCCCTATATATATATATATATAGCCGTTTTTTTGACGTCCTACTGCTGGGCACGGCCTTCCGTTTAAAGAGGGATCAAGGCATAGTCAACCATTGACCACAATTATGTGGGTTGGTGGACTTAACATGTTTTTTGAATACCCGAGATTTAAACCTGCTTCAATTAGTTTACAAGCAAGCACGCTACCACTGATCTACCAACACCTACCACTATACCTATGTTTTTTTTATAAACTAATGTTTATTTACTATATTTGTTCTAAATATAGGGGTAAAAATGGGGATGAAAGTTTGTTAGGGGAATCAACCTAGGGACGAACCCGAGCGAAGCGATAATGAATCGCTAGTACTTTATAAACTTAATATATAGAAAACGTTTCGAATCCGTCCATAGTATAGAGATTTTCACGAACAATAACTAAAAATATTTCACCTCATTATAATCTTAAGCTTTCTAACATAACAAATTTTAAGTAATAATAAAAAAAAATCGGTCAAGTGCGAGTCGAATTCGCGCACGAAGGGTTCCGTATGATATATGTACTTTTTTTATTAATTTGACTTTTACTCTATGTATGTAGTACATTAACCTTCGATGATCGATTATGAACGTTAAAAATGTTTCTTGTACTTTTAATTTTTTTATTAGTTGTTTATGTTTAGTTCTAGAATGAGACATTCACTAGAAGAAAGTCATTGCATGAATTATTATAAAAAAAAAATCTCTTTTTTAATTTATTGGATAGCTTTTTTTATACTTAAATGAGAAGCAAGAACAGAGAAAGAAGATAAAGGAATATAAATTTTCATCTCTCATTAGGTTTTCAGGTAAAATTACAAAAATGCTCGACTTGTTATTACAGAATAATTGATACAATATCCTGCCCGTCAAATCACTCGATTTCCATAAAATTGTTTAAATTTACTACAATAATAAATATTTTTCTAACGGACCTCTAACATAACAATACACTTACCTTGTTATTTGATGTACAAATATGTTATTTGTATTAGCCTAGTATTCGGAACTAAAGCAAGCTTCGCTTAGCAAAATAAACATCATTAGGCTGTTATTTCGTTCCAATAAACGTAATCTAGTGAACTACTTAAACTAAATCACAGATTAAACAAAACTATATGTTTATGTACAAAATTTCGGTGTACTAATTCTTTTCCTCCTAATTGGCTTGACCGATTTGGATGAATTTATGTACCTAAATAGTTCTTAGCTATTGCAAACAAGATCTATTACACGTTTGGCTCAGTTTGTAGTGACCCTACTTGCCGTGCCAACGGTCACGGGTTCGAGTCCCGCTGGGGGCATTCATTTGTGTGATGAGCACGAATGTTTGTACTCAAGTCCTGGGTGTTTATATTTATAATATGTATATACTTAATAATGTATGTGTAGTGTATGAACTATCTGGTATCCATAACACGAACCTCGTAGCTTACCATGGAACTAGATGGTGGTGTGTGTTAATGTCCCAATATATTTTATATTTATTTATTTAAGACACGACAAAATCTGCCGACCGTGTCCACTTGCTAAGTTAAAAATAAACCCGAGAGTAGACTTTACGAAACAGAAATTAATTACTAAATACTCACAACTGCCAGAGAAATTCATCGGATTGGTGATAGCGTCACATCGGTCTATACTCAGTGCAACTAAAACATATGTAGATGCATACATAACCACTGCCTGTAATAACAGAAAGCATTTATATCATCTTAATACTGAAAGTTACTTCTATAAATAATGTATCCAAAAAAAAAGATTCCGACGAATTGAGAACCTCCTCCTTTTTGGAAGTCGGTTAAATATAAAAATAGACGAACACAACACATTCAATTATTACGAAAAAAAAAGAAAAATTATAACATGAAATAACATTAAAGACTATTGAAATATTTATGTATATGTTACATTTTAAACACAACGTATGTAATAAACCTATCAAAGTGTGATAATAGAATGAAGAAAGCAGGTCAAGTGTGGAACATTTGAAAGCGTCTGAATCTAAATTAACAAGAAAAATTTATGTTATCTTTATATATATAATTATTCTGTGAGTGTGTATGTCACTGAACTTCTCTCAAACGACTGGACCGATTTTGATGAAATTTTTTGTGTGTGTTCAAGGGGATCTGAGAATGGTTTAGATTCACAATTTGAATAATAATTTTCATCAAAATGGTCCAGAATGTTTTAGCTTATTAAAAAAAGTTTGAAATTTTCAAATTAAAGACGTGTAGACAGGACAACGTCTGTCGGGTCAGCTAGTCTTTTGTATAATTTATTTTACCTGTAGAAATTTCACTAGTTTGCACATGATTTCACCAGCCAGCCACGCTATCGTAATTTTTTGCACAATATCCGCGAACACGTATATCAAACCTACGAACAAATCTGCAAGGAAAAACATAAAGCTTATAAAAACACTCATCTTGTTAGATGTTACATTTCTCCACATTTTAGTTACCAGATTTTTTTAAAGTGGTTTAAACTTTTTATAGTTATAATTAGGCATAAAGGAGATTAAAAGGAAGACACGTTTTTAAATAGCCTGGGCTTATTGGTTGACTCTAAAGCTTTTATAGCGTTAATTAAGGATTTTTAATATGTAGTTTAAATGCATTTGGTTGAATCCATAGGAAATCATATACAATGAATGGATCGATTAAAATAAAACTTAAGAGATCAAAAATGAAAAAAATAAGCGAATGAATTTAGATGGGTATAAATTTTGTTAAAAATTGTAAGTAGTACAAATTCAATTTAAAGTCAAATTTTTACTAAATTTCACGAAATTTTGCACGTAAAAATTATAATCTCATAATAAAACAAGTTGTTCTTTATTCACATAATTAAATTAAAAAAATATAGAAAATAGTAACATACTAGCGGCTCACCCTCGCTTCGCTCCGGTTCGCCTCTAGCAAAACAAAAACAAATCTATCCCACGGGAACCGTGTATTTTTTCGGCATAAAAAGTAGTCTTTGTGTTATTCTGATCTATGAGCTATATTATTATAAAGTTCCACCAAAATCCATTCAGATGTTTTTGCGTGAAAGAATAACAAACATACATCCATACATCCATACTCACAAACAAGATTTAATTACGATTATTATAAAAAATCATAACAAAACAAATCATAACTTTTTAAAGAAAATCTATAAAGCAGAAACCAAGTTTACATATTCATATATAAATTTTAACTATACTCGTAATCATGAAATATCGCAAGTAAAGCCAGGATCAACTTGTCAGTGTGTTAATAAAATTTATATCCCAGTGAACCGATAGAGCGTATACTGATTCTATTTTGTAGGGATTTTATTAACAATGGCCGAACTATTTGCTCTCATTATATTGCTCTCGTGCGAATACTGTCTGTTACATTTGCGATAATATATTATCTTACATAATATAAATATTTTTATAGTGTATGTCTGTCGTATCAACACAGCTACCTTAGGCGTATACGAGTATGTAGTTGTTAGACCTTTACCAAACTCCATACAACCGTTATATTTTTTACTAGCGACTTACCCTCGCTTCAGTCGGGTTCGACCCTATCTACGTTTTAACATTTTGTATCGATTTCTTAGAGATGAGATATTTTCCCGCAGTAAAATACATTTTATGTAGGATACATCCTATATGTTGACCCGGACAACCAGCTATCATCATACTAAATTTCATCAATATCCCTCCAGTGGTTTTTCCATGATGCGGTAACAGATAGACAGACAGAGAGTCAGACAAAAATTCTAAAAACTATAGATTCGGCCTCTGTACCGATAACAATGTTTATTTCAATGGCATTTTCCAAAAAATATTTGATGCACAAATTCGGCTTAATTACAATTTTATTATAATGTGTATAGATCTAATCAATCTAAAACAGAAAAATATACTGTTAATATATTTTTTTGCGTATTTTTTTATTTTTTTATTTTAACAAATTAATTGATTTTAAAGAAGCTATTGCTTATGGAGATCCCTCTAAATAGAAAGTAAAATAACAAAGGTTCATTCTCGAAGAACAATAGCTTAAGCGATCTTAATGAGACTTTCACTAGCCGATAGATAGTCATCTATCTAGTGTTTAATCGAAGTGAAAAGATATAAACTTTTGTCATGGGACAAGTAAAGGGTTTCCGTGCGTTCAAAAAGAGGAAAGGGGGAAAAAGGGAAACGCTAAATAATAATTGGACCCAATTATGCAAAAAAATAGCCATGTGCATAAAAGTACCAACAGAGTTATAAGCATTTTTCTGTCGATAGTTGCACTTGGGTTATGTTATGTTTTTCTGGTTATTTTAAAATTAAACAATATTTATATAAGTATTGTTTATTTTTTATAATTATATTATTTTTTATAATAAAATGCTTATAACTGTGTTGGTACTTTTACGCACATGGCTGTTTTTTGCATAACTGGGTCCAATTATAAAAACTCTGCAGAGATAAAATAATGTAACTTTCCGTTTAATTCTCATATACATAACCTTTGTAATGTAAACATAAAATTTACCCTACGTGTTAATCTAACTTACGTGCTTTATAAATTATACAAATATATAATTTATATAAATTAAATTACATTACAAATGCATTCACGTGTAATAAGTCTAATTGAATATAGTATATTTCATTTCATTTCAATGTTATTCCTCTTGAAATCAATAGAATTTTTGTTCAAAATATGAAATAAATAGGGAAGCTTTAGCCCCGAAGAGAGAATACACTCTCATCCCTAAATAGTACGTTAGCTAGTCCAAACAAGCTGAAAAACGTTTTAAAATGCTTCGTCAGTGTCGTATAGAGATCTTAACAGTAGATAAACACAGTTATCGTGTTAGACGATTTTATTGCGCGAACAATACGATATTACCGTTAAATTGATAGTAACGATTCAGCAACTAATGAAATGCTTGGAATCTATAGGGAATCTAAGCTTGACTTTGTCTAGACAGAAAATTATTTTATTTTATTCTACTGATACTGCCTACTTGGTAACTGTTTGAATGTACATTTTACATGTTTCAATTAATAAGTCTATTTATTCAATCGCTTTGAGGGGATATTCATTGATTAAAGCCACTAAAAGGACGCTGGCAAATAGCATTTGGACATTTATAAACATATAATACTATTCAAATTATTTACAATTCGTGTGGAGTTTTAAATTGTATCTATATAAATAAAAATGAATCACCAAAATGTATGTACGCGCATAGCTTCCGTTCGACTGCATCAAATTGGATAATTCATTTTTTTTGTGTTTGTTATTGTCAGGACAAGCTTTGTATAAAAGAACATTTAAAAAAAAATTTTTACTCAAATAAGGTTTTTTTTAAATCTCATGATATTAAAAGTGAGTAAGTGAAATAGTCTTTATCCCGGAAATAATTTTTTAAGGAATAAAAATTTATATAAAATATATACACGTAAAGAGTAACATCTTTGTTAAGGAAAACCAATATGTATACAATTTACCTATCTATTTAAAATAACGCTAAATAAATAGCGTTACGATTTTTGTAACGGAAACGGTTGCACTGGGCGTTACAGAAGTGAATAGATAGTTAATTAAAAATCATTTAAGCTATAATATGAATATTTCAAAGCATAACTTAAATAAAAATTGATATTAATAAAAAAATCTCTTTCATTTATTTTTAAATGAGCGATGGTATTATCGTATCGTCATTAAAACAATTAGTATGATTTTAAATAAATTAAATATTTCATTGTTATTTAACAAAATATAGTTCTTTTTATATAAAATAAATACACGTAAAGAGTAACATCTTTGTTATTGTTAAAAATAATAAATTGGCTGTTAAATATAAGAGGAGAATATCACTTGTCATCGCCATTATAGTACGTAATTTGCACGCTTAATATATTTTATTTTCATCCAAAATACAAAAGAGTGGGTGAATTTATATACAAAACAAAAGCTTGTTCTCATTTCCAAAGATAGAACAAACAGACAACTTTACTGTTACGTACGTAAATAAGCTATGTAAGTTTACGTCAAGAAAGAAGTGAATCTCGTAAATCCCAGTTATTTATACAGAAACAAAAGTAGCGTTCAAGAAAATATGGCTATTATGAAACTACTCGATATTCCTTATTATCAAGCTATAAAAACCAGATTTGCACGAAAATAATTTTCACGGCCAACTCAGACTCGTCGGATTTGAGGCGTCGTTTATTTACAAATGTTCTGTTTGGATTCAAACCGTTACTTCATTTATAACAAAATGATGGAAAAATTGTAGATGTGTTTAAAATACGAAGTAAACATCGGGGAGTTTGATGGTTATTAAAAAAGCTCTCTTGTTAAAATGAAAACTTCGTGATATAGATTAGTGAGGGAAAATTCAAGGAAACAATCTGAATGAGCTTGAAAAAATGTATAAAATGGTCCAAAGCATTTTCCTTCTTCTGTATTTAAAAATATTTGTTTACAAAAAAGGCTTTTCGTTATGATATAGAAAGAGATAACATATTGACATATCTCAAAAATCGTTTTTTGTTAAATGTTAAATCAAAACAAAATATTTATACACAAACATGACTTATTATTTGAGTGAAAAAGTCAATTTCCGATCTATTTAGAGCATTAGGAATCTTTATTCTAAGAGTAAACCTCAAAGTAAAACTTGTTATATATAATTATAATAATATTATCAAACTAGTTTTTGCCTGTGGCCTGACTCGCGTAGTTAAAATAATGTTAGTTAAAAATTTATTTAATACCTGACCTTAGGCATTAAATAAATAAGCTATGAAATGCAAGAAAATTTGTTTAAATTGAGAAAATACTTACAGATATAAGCGCACACAAGCAAACGAATAAAGTAGCTTTATATATTAATCATATCTATACATAAATAAAATTGTAACTAAGCCGAATCTGTACATGACATATTTTTTTGGAAAAAATTATCGAAATAAACATTATTATCGATACAGAGGCCGAATCTATGGTTTTTAGAGTTTTTGTCTGTCTGTCTGTCTGTTCCCGCATCACAGAAAAACTACTGGAGGGACTTTGATAAAATTTGGTATGGTGATAGCTGGTTATCCGGATCAACATAAAAGATACTTTTTACCGCGGGAAAATATCTCATTTCTGAGAAAAAATACAAAAACTGCAATGGAAGAGTATACTAATAGGTAAAATCGAAGAATTTGGTTTTTGGTAATCTGAATATATATATAATAATTTACTAGCAAATATCTTTTCAAAAAATGGCGTCGACGTGAGACGTTATTTCAAACCGGTGAATAAAATTCAAAAATCGAAAGTTTTAACTGTCTAAACTCAAATTCAAACCTACACGCACTACATAAAGTAGTTTTTTAAACAAGGCAACGTGCGCTTTAATTTGGTCATCCGAAAAGCAATTAACAAAAGAGATTGAAAAACACAATTTCGAATTATACACTTCTTTTTTTGTGGACACTTTTGAGTTGCACATTGTGTGTATTAATACACATAGATAAGCGCTAAAAGGTTTTTTTTTGTTAGCTTGTCTCTATTTTACGTAGCAATGTTTATGCGACTTATATAGGGTATTTTTAGAACTGCTAAGCCCCAGTTAAATATATATCACTAGCTATTTGATAATCACTAAATGAACAGTTTTCTTAATTTTTAGATTCATTCAACTTCATATAACATTTTCTTCCTTCCGGTCTTAAATAACTTTCATTCACGTTGTTTGATTAAATATGTAGCTTTGCGGTCAAGAAAGTGATTGATGGTTAAATAAAAATTCGTTTGTTTACTTCGTCGAAAGATATCATCAACATGTCAGTTTATATTATATTACCCACCCTTCAGCAGACTTATTCTGATTTATAAATTACAATTTTAATTTTTTTTTGAAAATAACAATGTTTTTAAACCCTTTTTTTCATGATATTTAAAGTAGGTTCCTGGTAAAATGATGATAATTAAAATACTAAAATAAATAATTAATTTCATATGCATCCAAATGATAATGAATGCTCTAACAAATAAAATTATTCAAATTTTATCAATACAGACTGGATTTGTCAACGATGTTTGATCAATTTTCATTTATGGTAATAATTATATTTATCCAAGTAATATTTGACATGCTTTATGGTGGTTAAATGTTCCTGTTTCATTTTACACATAAATAGAAATACTGAGAAATAGTTAATTTCTTAGGTCTTCATTTAATTTTTCTCTGTATTTAGTCTTATTAAATTACAATTGGAATGCTTAAAAGATAAAATAATACTTTTTTAAGGCATTTTTTTAATATAATTAGAGTAAATTTAAATTGTGGCGCAGATTTTTCTAGGTTACCGTAGTTTTAAATTCTAAACAATACCTAATAAAGTTAAATCTATAGAAATTTTCTAAAAAATAAACGATTTGAGTCTAACCATCATATTTATTTATATCATATCATGTCGAAAAGATATAAACATTCTCGATAGAAAACAGCTTTTAAAATTAACAGCATAGCCGTAAACATGGTTATTTTATTATTTTTATAACTGATTATTATTCCTTACAGAATATATCGTGCATATCATTACTTTCTAATATTTTGTGTATATTCAGTAGGTCGGAGAATAAGACGTAAACTATTTTTCATACCAATGAGTGATAAGGGTGGTCAACCCCAAAAATTTTTTTTTGATAATTTTATTTTTTTAATAATAGATTCGCATGTTCACATACATACATATATACAGTATAGACGTGAAGTAAACAACAGGGTATTGTTAGGCACCTTTAGACGCATCCGAGCAAAACAAGATTAAGTCGCTAGGAAGAAATAGTAAAGAAAGACAGGTATAGGTCTAGCTCTAAGGAATTAAAACTAAATAATAAAAAGAATAAACTAAATAATAAACCGCTCCCTAATGGTGTTCGCCATTCAAAGTCACTAAATATTTTTAAACGTCGTCTAACTATTATCTGTCTTGTTAGTTATTGAGTATATATGTATATACTATGTATTTATGTATCTATATGTATGTATGTATGTATGTATTTATGTATATGTGTACGTATATATTATACATGTATGTATATATTTTTGTCTTATGTATGTATGTATTCATGTTTGTAAACGTAGTTCATCATGTCTGTGTTTAGTGTTAACTGTACCGTCCCGTCTACGATTCTTCTAATCCTTTCACCAAAGGTTGTCTGTAAGAGATTACTCGTAGCAATAAGACCGCCTTTGCATGTCTCTTTGTTATTTTTTTTTCTTTTCATCTTCTGTACTCTTCTTTTGTGTGTGCAATAAAGTATTTATCTATCTATCTAAAACGTTACCTGCAATAGCCAACTGCATGATAAAGAAATTCATCCGGCTCTTCCTTGCATTGGTGCACAGCAATGCGGCGATGACCGACGAGTTTAGCACAACGATCAACACGAATAACACCCACATCACAGTGAATTGGACCGACTGGAACAAAATAAAAACGTCAAATTTTATAAATGTAAATGCTTATATAGATGTTTGGATGTTTGTCACTATTTGACTCGTAAATTGATAAAAACTTTTCATCTAATAATATTTATATTTTATTTAATATTTAATTTACGTATTTATATTATATACACACCTACATACATACAATACGTATACTAAATTACTTATATTTATTTATTAATTAATATTTATTCATTATTAACATTTAATTCATAAGCATAGCTGCGCGAAACCCGTAGTGTACGGAAGATCGGAATTCGTTTGTCCGTTACGGGCCGCTTGTAATTTTTACTAATACAGACAGTCGATGCTTTGTGATCTGACGCTAATTACTTGCTTCATATTATTTAATCGTTTTCGTGAGTTATTGTATGTGGACTTCTTGTGTTTGTACTGTAACCTTTTATATTACTGTATCTCCCTAAACTTTCTCTTCTGCTTTTACCTGTGTGTTGACTTTTTCATTATAATTTAATTAGTGACGTAACATAGACTTTTATTTGTGTTCTCTCGTCACATCACCCAACAACCACTAAAGGACTGTAGAGACTATATGTATACCTATGATGATGTTCTCCTAGCCGATTCCGGCCACGGCGGCCAATCTCAATGAGATTAGCCAACTGCGCAGGAGACATTATAGTGCTCAAGTGTACGCGCAGACACAAGGGCACTCTATTCCTATCACTCAGATACTCCGGTGTGACGACCACTCGACACGACCAGTGAGAGTTAAGGCGCAGGACCGACGGCTGTACGTGCTCTCCGAGGCACGGGGGTGAAACACCGCCAACTTCCCAACTCCGGGCTGTTACTGAGACTTACTATACAGGAAGACTCAATAGCTAAACTTGGCCCGACCCGGGACTCAAACCCAGGACCTCCGGGTGTGCAGCCGTACATGCTAGCCACTACACCACCGAGGCAGTTATGTATACCTATACTAACAATATAAAGAGGCAGAGTTTGTTTGAATGCGCTAATCTCAGTAACTACTACTCCGATTAGAAAAATTATATTTGCATTAGATAGCCCGTTTATTAAGGAAGGCTTTAGGCTATATATCATCATGCTACTATCCAACGAAATGGAGTAATCATAAAATATGTCAACAAATCGGTCAGTTTACCGTACATTATCGTAAAACTGATGCTTATAATGTTTTAATTGATAAACTCAGAAACTGCGATAAGCTGTTAGTCCTGAAAGCGATATATGTATAAAACAGAAATTGACAGTTTTGTCAAAATTTAAGTTTATTTTGTTTAGATTATTTTTTTTAAGAAATTATCAAAATATTAATACAATAAAGCCTTATTTGTTATGAAAATATGAATTTTACATGCATATTACATTTAGGGATAGAAATGTATGGAAATGTTCTAACTTTAAGTCTCAATAACTTTTAACTCCTTCGTTTCCTCAAAATAATTTTTATATATTTGAACTCCCTATCACCTCCTCTATCCAAAAGTACCACTCACTTCTCCAGGGGCCGCGTGCCATATATTAAACTTGTGCCCAAAAATGCACTTGGTTCGACTTTCGTTAACGTAACAATAATTACCTGGACTTTAAAAAAAAAACCATCCAATGTGTGACTGCAGTATATTTCGATTGTTTGAGAATCGAGATCTGTGGTTTATGATACAGATACAGGTCATCTGTTCATCATCGATTCGTGACTAAATATATTTTAGATATGACATAATTTACGATGTTAGTATAAAATATGGTTGGGTGTTTCCCCATTGACATTTAAGAATTTACGAAAAGTGCTACAGTATTTTAAAACCGATTTGGCTAAAATCCACGCAAACACTTAAGTATATTAGCACATACATTTGCGCTCTTACCACGTGAAATTGTCATTGCAAAATTGTCTAGTACAAATAGATAGTAAACAAATATTAATATAGCGGATTCAAATCCCGGGTCTCGCACCTCTGATTTTTTCATGTGCGTATCATTTCCAACATGATAACCACTTACTTGTCTTACGGGGAAGAAAAACATGGTGAGCCTTACATATGTACATGATAGATTGTTATATATATACATACTAGCATTGCCCGCGGCTCCGCCCGCGTTTAGATGATCAAAAACCAAATTCTTAGATTTTACATAGTAGTATACTCTTACGTTGCAGTTTTGATTTTTTTCTCAGAAATAAGAAATTTTCCCGCGGTAAAAAGTATCCCATATGTTGACCCTGATAACCAGCTATCACCATAGCAAATTTCATCAAAATCCCCTTAGTGGTTTTTCTGTGATGCGGTAACAGACAGACAGATAGACAAAAATTCTAAAAACTATAGATTCTTCTGTATCGAAAATAATGTTTATTTCAATAAGATTTTCAAAAAAAAATTTAATGTACAGATTCGGCTTAGTTACAATTTTATTATATGTATAGATTATGTAAGTAACATACGAGTATAATAGCTATGCCATAAAACTTTATGGGCTATTTTTGAGGTACCGACCATTAAGTTTTTTTAACGATCTTTATAACACACGAAGGGATAGAAGTAAAGGTACGTATTTGTCAATAACTATCCATTTCACGCTTCTATTTTTATGCTATCCGTAAGCGTATTTTATACCTTTTAAATATAAATCGTCGTTTTACACATAGAACGAGTTTGGAAATTCGTAAAATATGTAAGTATAATAATTTTATTTTGTTTCTAACTGCGAAATGTAAGAATAAAAATATTCAGCAGTGTAACATAAGGAATATTTTATTTACCTATGTTAGATAGCATTTTGTATCATTTGAAGATAACATACAAAGCCCATGACATGCACGATCCACACTCTTGCGTAAACCTAATAATATACCTATATAGTATGGTTTCTTGTTTATTAAAAACTAGCGACTCACTCTCGCTTCGCTCGGGTTCGTCCCTGGGTTGATTCCCCATATAAACGTTCATCCCCATTTTCACGCCTTTAAGGGATAATTTTCAGGATAAAAAGTATCCTATGTCCTTCCCAGGGTCTCAAACTATTTTCTTACGAAATTTCATCTAAATCGGTTAAGTAGATCCAGAGATTGCCCCCTACAACTTCACAAACTCACAAACTTACAATTCACGAACTTTACCTCTTTATTATATTAGTATAGATAAAATAAGGATTTTTAATTAAAATAAATAAGAAAAGTAAGGATACCCTAAAATCTATTGAAAATAAGAGTTCTAGGTCAAGTAAGCCTTTGCTCTCTGAAACAGCTAAACTGAGCTAGATATTAATGTCGAGGCTTAAAACTTACGATGAAAAAAGTCGATAATCAAGAAACTTTAAAGCTATTTCGTTCGTGTTTTTTTTTTAATATTTCAATGAAAAACTTAAACAATTATAGAATACTAGATAAATTTAATTGAATATTTAAGATTTTATTAGAATGTAAAAGGCTTTACCATATTAATATCAATAGAATGCAGCTAAACTGTATTCTAAGTGTAAGTGGAAAGGATCTTCGCAAGTTATGAAAAATAATTAAATCTAATATTTTATTAAGCTAACAAAATTACGGAGTTCACAAAAATGATGTGCTGCACATGTTACTTTAAAGTTTCTGAATATAAAAAATATTCCGTCCGATGGTATATATATGGGCAGGACTAAAGAAAAAATAGTTAAAATGGATGAATTTAAAATAGATTCTTAGGTAAAATTAATAAAATAAAAAAAAATCTGAAAAGTAAGGTGTAGTAAGATAAGGTAAGATCTGATTTAAAAAATACCTAATTAAAGAAAGGAAACAATGTGTTTTTTAATTAAATCGTAATTTTACCGATGATTAAACAAATCGGCTTTGTCAATACATCAGTAATTATTATTTATAGATGGTGCTATTTGTATTATTAAGTTTATGAGATTAAGTATCCCACGCGTAGATGGCTAAAGTTAATTAGATGAGATGGCTAATCTGCTAGGAAGATCTATACTTAATATTATAAAGAGGCAGTTTGTTTGTTCGTTTATTTGTTTGTGTGAACGCACTAATCTCAGGAAGTATCTACTAATCTAATTTGGAAAATTATTTTTGCATTAGACAGACTGTTTGTAGACTTTAGGCTATATTTCGTTATGATACTACCCAAGGGAGCGGAGCAGTTATATAATATATCTATAGTCGATCTATTCAATACTAACTGTTAAAACGTACCTAGGGACAAACCCAAGCGCAGCGAGGGTAAGCCGCTAGTATTATATAAGAAGACTAGCAGATCCTGTGGCTTCGCTCCCGCTAAAACTACAAAAAAAATCTTTGGCTTTATGCTTTTATTGATAATTAATAATTAATGCCCGATTTCTTGACATTTATGATTACTGCTCTGCTATTTTAGGTAGTAGCATGATGATATATAGCCTCCTCAATAAACAGGCTATCTAATGCAAAAAGAATTTTTCAAATCGGATTAGTACTTCTTGAAATTAGCGCGTACAAACAAAGAAACGAACAAACAAACTTTGCCTCTTTATAATATTAGTATGGATAGATACAGTAAAAAAGTAACTAATATATAGGCAATTAGGAATATATTAAATAAAAATATCTTCAATGCTCTAAGCTTGTCGATACCATCGGTATGCAACAACATAAATTTTCAACGTATTGACAGTTGCTTTTGGTGAAAAACGATGCGCCTGCTAATGTATTACCAAACATCAGGTCAGGAATGTAGTTCATTTTTTATTCGGACGTAAACATTTTCTCAAGTGTGTTGAAAAAAACTGGGATATATTATTTGGAAAAACCAAAATGAAGTTTAATAGTAGCCTATCAAATAGTTTCACCTTAAGTTAAGTAATTTCCAGCAGCTCTTTTATCAGACCAACTCGATGATACAAAGTGTTATATTAACATCGATTTTTAAAACGAGTAAAATTAAATTGGACGTCCGAAAGAGGCAAATTTCACATTACACTCACAATTACATTTTGAGTTAAAATTCGGCTAT